GAAACTAAATATCTGGAGCCTAATCCTTTTTTTAAAAAATTCACCAAAAGAAATAAATGTACATGCATCATATATCAGTGCACTTGTAAAGGACAATCTGCTTCCTCATAGTAACTCCCCTGTTCCCCAACCCTCATATCTCAGTAGGAGCTCCAGGAAAAATCTCACAAAAATGTTTCTGAGTAAATGGTGGGAATGCTCTCATACCAGTGCATCCACGTCTGGCTCTGTTGAATTTTTGTTCTTTGGAGAGGAGCACTCAGGTACAGCCTCCATCCTTTTTTTAAGAAAGATTTTTAAGAGCACAGCGTAGAGTTAGATCAGGAGATGTAGTAACATTAATCTCCAGAAAGAGATAGAAAGGCAATTTGTCCTGTGTCTAGCATAATTTCTGGCTGCATAAAGGACCAAGTTATTGACTAGTCAGCAGGATTAAGAGTGGGTGCTGTGGAATAACACACAGAAAGTCATTGAATAATCCTCCAGTAACCTGAGCCCCATATATTAAATCCAAGGACAGCTCCACCAATGGTGGGCCCACTTAGTGACATCCCCCACTTCTTGCATTTTAAACATACTGGACTAGGTCTGGCTGCAAACCTGCTACAGTGGGGGTGGTGGTAGTATTTGTATCATGCCTACGGGCACAAAATGAGGATCAAGGCAGCATTACGCTATGTACTGTGCAGACATGCAGGAAAGACAGTCTGTCCCAAAGAGCTTGCAATGTGGATATGACAAGACCTGAATGGGTGGATAAGATTTAAAAAAAAGAGGGGTGAGGAGGACAACAGCTACAATTAAATGTAGTCTAGGCATTAATTTATATTGAGTCCCCTGTACAGTTGCTTCAGAAATTTTATAACAACATAACAGGGTTTTATTCCATCTCTTCTATATATTTGACTGTTTAATTCTTTATATGGAGGATGTAATAAGAATTTTACTGATCTCAACAGTGGCTAAGATTTCTTCCACAGGACAGCAAGATAATTCTATTTAAGGTTCACAAATTTGTGCATTAATATATGTTGAAGCACTAAGTTAGTATGGGAGTAGTTTAAAGTATACCAGAGGTTTGTGAATAAACGTCTCTTACTGAAACCACCAAAAATGCACTTAATTGATGCATTTCATCACTTAGAAAATAGGGCTGGCCAGGTTTGAGAGAAACCTGTAGTTATAAATTATGCATCCCTGTTGATATTCTCATTTCCTCCCTTCTTTAAATCACAGTGGGAAAGAGTCAGACTTGACGTACAAGTTACATTAGTCTCTTCAAGCCCATAAAGGGGCCCTGAATAAATGATATATAAGTGAATAGGCTTGTGAATATGACAAGAAAAGCAATTTAGATAATCAGTCCTGGAGAAGCTAACCTCTCTTTGATTAACATTGATCTGGGGTTCTCAATTTTTTTCCATACTCAGACCCTTCTGAGTCTGCCTCATGTCGAGTCTGGATCAAAATTGGACCCCAGCCCATTTAGTAATATGGGAAGGGCAGGCTGGAGACCTTGTGACCACCAAGTGGCGAACCCCTCACATAGAGAGACACTGCCCCAACTCATCCAGCCAGTGCCTTATGAAACAAAGCTGAAGTTCAAAGCTACGTTAGTGAATGTTCTATTAATGGTGGGAATTCTAAATATGCAGAAGAGAAGGAAAGATGAAAAGGGATGGGTAATGAATGAGATATCAGAGAGAGAGATGAAATGGAGGAAAGGATAAGGGAAACACAGAAATGTAGAAGAAGAGTTAGAGAAGGGAGAGGGAAAGGGATCTCTTTCTCTTTCCTTCTTTTGTAGACTAAATAAAGGAGAAGCAATTTCTCCTTCTGTTCTTACCCAGTAATTTCTCTGGACTCTCCCAGTTCTTCCCCCATGTGTCTCTGACTTTGTGTTGGTAACCCTAATACAGCATTATTACAGTCATGTGTTTAATATTAAAATATACTGCAGAAATTCTTGTAGCATTTATCCACTAAAAGCCCATTATATTGGTTTGTTTACCTCAATCAAGCATATTTCATATGAATTCAGTGGAAACATTAGGTTGAGTCTATGCATAATTTGTGTTCCATCTGGGAGGAGATCTACCCATTTAGTAGAAAGGTCTACTGCTGAAAGACCTGCTTTCAGGTTCGTGTGTGTGTGTGTGTGTGTGTGTGACGAGGGGGGAGGGGAGGTTGTTGGTGTTTGTGAAATCTTGAATTTACGATGAGCAACAATAACAATCAGGTATTTATCCCGTGGCCTAAATCCTGTTTCAGGGTGATAACATAAATATGAATGCAGGTGATCTGGTGTATGTCAGTCTGAGAACTCATTTAATCTATAATATAATATAAACCAGCAACCTCAGCAGGATGGATTAAAAAGGTGATAAACATTGTAGTCTAGAAAAGTTTGGAATGGGATTGGGATGGACAGAGGATATTAAATGTGTTATGGTTAAGCATTACACCTAATCTGTGTCTTTTTTTTTCCCCCTCCCCACAATATTATTCAGAGTTAGTAATGTTGCTGGAATGGTGGTCAGGCACAGAATGCACTTTATTCTCAGACCAGGCCACAGTGGATACATTTGGAAAAGAACATGTGATCATCATCTTGAATCACAACTTTGAAATTGACTTCTTGTGTGGTTGGACTATGACTGAACGCTTTGGAGTGTTGGGGGTGAGTGATTCTGTGAACTTTCCCTTCATCTTGATTTAATATAAAACTCCTGTGTTTGTTTTTTCTTTGTGGTGGGATTTTCAAAAAAACTCCATTGACTTCAGTTTGGTCAGAGCTAGGCCAGTGCTGAGCACTTTTGAAAATCCCAACCTTAGTGCTTTTGTTTAGGTCTGACATATATAAATAATCAAATGTCATTGGGCGGTGTTTCTTCCAGAGTTCCAAAGTTCTTGCTAAGAAAGAACTGTTGTATGTGCCCTTGATTGGTTGGACGTGGTACTTCCTTGAGATCGTTTTCTGCAAAAGGAAATGGGAAGAAGACAGAGATACAGTTATTGAGGGATTAAAACGTTTGTCTGATTATCCTGAATATATGTGGGTAAGTGTCTGATCCTTTATAAATAGTGTCTCCTCTGCTTAGAGTGCAGTGATGAAGACCACATTTGTGTGGTGTGTCAGCTTCATACTTAAGAGCGCCGCCTTCTTCCTGTGATTACATTTGAAGCATATAGCTATATGCCTTGTTGCAAGTGACTTCATTGCACACTAACCAGGCTTCTGATCTGTTATTGGATAGGAATGCCATTTTGAAAATTGTTGGTAAATGTGCATAAGTATTTCTCAAAGTATTTAGCAGTAGAAACCTAAGCTTGCATGTCTCAAAACGTACAATTTTTCCCCCCTTCTAAAAGGATAAAAGGACTTTCCATAACTCTTTTTACCCAAAAAATACATTATTCAAGTTTTACTACTGAACTTGTGAATCTAGGCTACATTTTCCAGGCTAAACTAAACATATTATTTTAAAAAATGGGTTGTTTTTTTTCTTCAGGAACCTGCAGGGGGGCAATGGGAAGAGAGATTTGCAAAGGTTGCAGATTACAATGGAAAGTTTTTGCATCAGTGCATTCTCTTTCCTCTGTGAAATTGTACAGGCATTTGAGAAACTTGCAAGAATATACAGATGTCTCCAATTGCCTTTGAAGTGTACATCTCCTTTATATATGTGCATCCAACAGTTCATTAAGCTCAGTTTTGTGGGGTATATTACAGTAATACAACATCATAATTAAACCAGAAAACAAATTATATTCTGAAAGATACCTTCATGGCTTCACATTTTTGAGCTAATGTATCCATGACTCCTCACCACCAAGAATTTAACTTGATTTGAGTCTATTTAAAAATAAGTTCCATCAGGCTTGAGAACGTGTGCAATGCATTTCAGTCTCCAAATGCAAGCTAAAAGGTTCGTATTGTAAATTCCTTCATGGGCCCAAACCTTATCTCCAATAGTACCAGGCACCACTATAAGAGGTGCTGAAAAGATTTTGGCTCCACATAGCACCTCTCATACCCAATATGTTCCACAATGTTTTACAAAGTGATTAAACTAGCAATCCAGTGGCTGTGTGATCAGATAAAGTTCACAAACAGTGCTGGACAGAAAAGATTTTCAGAGAAGGGAAAAGTTGTTCAGGACAACAGCATTCTCTCCGGCTCCAGCATAATTGTTACTGAAGATTATCTTTTATAGGTGGAGCTAATAGTTTGCATTATAAGCCCCTGTTGTCAGTTTCCTATGCTTTGACCATCTGGGCTATGCTTGCTCTCTGCCTCAGACTGAATATTTTTGGAATGTTTTAATGAAAATGGGTGTCGCTTCTGCAAATGAGGCTAGTGAAACAGAGGTAGTTTTTGCCAGTGATAACAAAACAGTAAAATTAAATAAAACTGCCTCTTCCAAGAGCTCTAGTGCCTCCATTTTGCAGTAGTAACTTGAAATCTGAAAGGGAGATAGTCTTGGGGTCTGTGAGATGTGTTATGTATTCCCTGTGAAATCCACCCAGATTTGATAGAGTTATTATAAACACTCTTAAAATCAACATTTGTACATGCTCAGTAAAGCCTGCGAGAAGCTTGCTGGTAAAATCTTTGAACATTCCATCTTCAAAGAGCATGCTTCCACCTCTATTAAGCCTCCTAAATGGCAGACAGAGAGCTAGAGCTCCAGACAAGGGGTACAGCAATAGCAGCTACATCTCTCCCCTTGGCTTTGGGAAAGCTGCTCTTGTTTGGGAGCTATGAGGAAATTGAGCTCTAGTCTCAGCTCCTCTACTAACCAGTGTTGATTATGTGCCTTTCAGAGTCCTTATGATTGAGCAAGGCCTCATATCCTTTAAGAAGTAGGCAAATATCATTGAGAAACTTCACAAATAAAGCAACTGCTGAGAAGTTGCACAAAGTCACTTCTGGCAGACTTTGGAATTGATATTAGGTTTCTAATATGGCACATCTCATCTTTTTAGCCACACACTCATTCAGAATGAATGTGCCAGATCTATGTGCTTGGCTATGCTCTCTGTAATCACTCGACCACACTCTGAGCAAGAAATAGAAATCAGAATTACTGTCTGCCCCCTGCCCCCCAGCCAGAAATGGAAACCAGCGTTCTTGTTTCCCAACATTTCTCCACTGTCAATAAATAACTGAGTAAGCCACAGGCAAAGTATGTCTCATGTCGCCTTCTAATGGCTGGCCCACGTAGAGGATAACAGCCTCCTACTACTACCACTTATTCTTTTAGCTCAAGTGATAGGTGTCTCTGCTGTCCATCTAAAAGTCCTGGGTTCCAACCATGCTGATGGTTCAGAAGGTCATTATGGTTCCAGGTGATGGAATTTCTTAGGGGGTTCAGTTTCTTTTCAAAAAGCAGAGGAAATTGTATACAAAAATTTACATTAAAATAACTTTTAGGTTGCACAATCAAGCACTCAAAAGTTAGGAAATGCCAGAATTAAGGTTGTCTGTGCAATCTTCACTGGGTCTCCTTGTGTGTTTGCATTGTGATAGTCTTTAATTACATAATCACATAGTATTTGTTCTACAGTACTTCTGCCTGATTCAGTGCACAGGATGGACAGTGAAGGAGGCAGAGAGTTGCGAGAAGAGAAGTTATTATGTTTAAGATGCTGGACTGAAACCCAAGAGAGCTGGGTTCTTCTATTCCGGGCACTGCCACAGATATCCCACATGATGTTTGACAAAGACTTTCATAATGCATAACCATAATGGTGTTGAATTAATCTTGCATTAATAACATTCATTCTGGCATTTCCTAACTTTGGAGTACTTGACTTTGCAACCTTAACATTCATTTAATGGAGCTTTTTTTGTATGTAATATTTATATATACTAAAGAGAAAGGTAGAGACACAACAGCACTGTTACATAACAGATGTACAGTGACTATAGCAAAATTGAGAGATTGTCTTGGTTTCCCCATTTTTAGCAGGACTTACTTTTGAAGCACATTGTGAACTACAGCAACTAAACATAATTTACTGCTATTATAAATAGAATCAAATTCCCCTTTTTGGCTTTTATATGATGCAGAGATTTGTGTGCACACAAGTTAGGAATGCAGCAGTGCCATGGAGCTAAAATGAGGCTAAGAAAAGTGGGGAAATAGGTTACAGCCACTCAGAATGGCCAAGAATC